TAAAAACTCTCTCTGGGCCAGTTTTCACCCTTAAAATTAGTCTGGTTTAAAATTACAAATTACTCAGCATGTTTAAGAAACTCTATGAAAATGTTTTAACATCTTCCTAAACATCAAAACTAAGGGAAGGCATCAGCCTACGGCGCAGCCTTTGAAAATGAGCAGATGTATTGTTTCAAGTTTGACAGCCTGGAAGCTCCCCAGTGTCAAACCACAGGATTCCCCAATAGTTTTTCCCAGCTCAGAATGCAAAGTCTAGATGGATTTCTTGCCAACCCCCAAAGTACTTTGGGCTGTGGATCTAGCAGTTTGAATCATGTGAGTATAAGTACTAAATTCTTGCCCAATTCGCTCAGAATAAAAGGAGGGCCAGGGACAGCTGAAGGGGACAGAGATATGGGGAATGCTGTTTTCTCATGGCAGGGCCTCTGTCGTGCCCCCAGTACTCGGAAGAATTACTGAACAAATGTGCAAGCAGGAAGGAAACGGGTGGATGAAAGTCAGCCCCATCTCAGAACACAAAAGTTGTCCGTGTTTACATTTTCAAAATGCAAAAATCCAAAAAAGGTTGACATTTGGAAGTTCCTGGGGAACCAAAAAGCTTAACCTACATTCCACAGTTGTGTCATCTTAAGCCTCTCTGAGCAAGGAGGTCAAAGTTAACTCTCCTTCCCCGCTTACAAAACAAGTCAACTTATTTTGTATGTAGAGCTATAAACTGTGTGCAAGTTTCCTAAGTCGGGCACTCGGGATGAATTATGAATGGAATTAGCCAGCTTGACTTGGAATTTCCTCACTTTTACAGGTCTTTAAACAAGATTTTTATACATTCACATGTAATCAATGAGACCAACACATGAAATGATCCTTAACATAAAACACTGTTTTAGAGTGATTTTGCAGTTAAGGCAACTTAAATATGAACTTCTAATGTGGAAAAGGTAGTTTTTACGTGCTGGAAAACTGATGAGCTGGCCACAGTATTTCTGTCAGAAACTGAAATTAAGTTTATATTTTAAATGCTTGCTTTCTTTCATGAAGCCAATCTGCTTCTCATATCCTTAGCCTTAAAAATACATAAATTTGGTATCTGGTTATTGAGTTTTTAAGTTGCCGAGTAGAATAATTTAGTTATTCATAAATACAGAGCATAAGGAAATCCTTCCTGAGTGCAAAACTACCTTTAAAATGACCATCTAAATGAGTGAATGATACAAGTACACATCTTGATTTAATTTTGACTGTTAGCTATTTCTTATCTTAATATATATTTTTCTATATTAAACTTGTAATGTCTTAACATTTCCCTATAAACTGGCATGTCCAAATTGATTTCACTAACAGTTTGTGTAATATAAAAACTATGAGATCAGGATCAATGTCAAGTTTTGGAGAGAAAAATGAACTTGGATTGTTTTTTACTCCAAGGCACATGTTCAAATTTATCCCATATACATGTAAAAGAACATTAAAATATTTCTCAACTGTTCATGCAGAAAGTAAAACACAACACATTCCAATAATACTTTTATCATATAGATAATATAACAAAATACTTGGAACAGTTAAAAGAGAGGCACTCATTGAAGTACACATAAAAATTTCAAAGATTAAAAAGCAGTTGGAAAAAATACTTCTTAGTCACTTAAAATTTAATTACTTGCACATTTTAATGGTCTTGTATATTTTGGTAGTAAAATGTTTTTACAAACTTCTAGCCATTTCAAGTACCTCAAACATATAAAGAACCAGGAATATTCTTTTTTCTTCGTAATACATTCAAAAGTATCCACCATCTTGACAGAACTGTTATTATAGTAATAATTTTCTTATACCTGATTATAATATTTCTATAGAATGGAAAACTCTGATTTTTCTTTGGAAGGGGGGGATAGTGGGAGAACTCTTTTAAAACATGTTTTAATATTCATTTAAAATGTATTCATTCCCAAGTTTCTTTACAAAAACCTTTGATATTACAATTTTATCTAGATTACATTTATAGTTTTGGAATAAACCAAACTCCTTGAATAGAGTTGCGCTAACCTTGGTTAACGTTTTTTAAAAAATTACTGACAGCGATCATACATCTACCTGAAGAGAGTTAAAAATACTAATCCTGATGAAAATATTTTTATGAAAATATTTTTTCTGAAGGACAGATGAACTTCAATATGAAATGTGATCCCAGAACAAAATAATATAAGTATAAAGTTTCCTTTTGAATTTCATAAATCAACGAAGAAATCATGAAATTTTAAATACAAAACTTTCCGTCTGAACTCTTAAGAAAATCCTATGTAGTAAAATATTTGTTTCTATATTTGCTCCTTAAGCCTACTTGCCCTTCATTTTTCAAAGGAGCACTGACCAACCACATTCACAATTGCCCTCTGCAGGGAATGGCTCAAAGTCACCGCCATGTCATCTGTCCCTTCCCCGAGGCAGCCACGGTTGAGTCAAAAAGAAATTTTATTACTTATACCCATTCTTTTTAATTCTGTTTTTATTAGTTCTCAAAGTCTTTCATAGCAAATGTCAAATCATATTTAAATTGTTTTGCTTTTTAACTCCATGCTCCAGACCAGGCTATTTCAAATTCAATACTTTGCAAATGACAATAAACAGGGCTGTTTAAAAAACTGTTAAAGAACACTTTTTCCATATAACTTATGACAATCAAATGTAAAACATGGGGCTATAATTCCCACTATAAGTTAATTATAGCTATTTTAGGCTAGAAGTGTCAAGCGAATGTTGCTTATCAAAAGACCCTCGGGTCCTCCATTTGCCTTGGACATTACCTGGCCACATAAAAATCAAATGCTCTTGCCATCTGGAAAATTAAAAATACAAGGCATCCTCCTCCAAGTAACCCGCACAAGCCTCGACAGCAAACTAAAGCAGCTTAGGTGGTAACTTTAACTTACCTCTTCTGGGCTTTAGCAAGGGGTTACTGAAAAATATTTACTTCCTGGCAGAATGTAGCTCATTCTTAAATGAAGCTTAAAACCTTAGACATCCCTGAGGAAAACTGATGCCACGAAATATGTCACTGCCCATTTATTTCCTATTTCACTAACATAATTAATACACTCCTGACACTGACTCCTCAGATGGCAGCGTTTGCATCATTTTGGACTGCAAAACAAGACGTGGCCCGTTGGTTATCTCTAGCTAAAAAACACCCGTCTTTCATTGGGCACCGTCACCGACATCTTTCTCCCTCGAAGACAAATACTTTGCAGATCTCGTACCCTCCTTACAAACCTGCGCGGGGCTTTCGGGGGGAGGGGGAGGCAAGACTTTGGTGGGAGCTGCTTCTCTTCAGCAGAGCGAGGGCTGATTGCAAAGGCGCAGGCTGGGCGCTCGAGCAATTTCCTGCTGAGTCCAGATTCCCCTCGGAGCAGCGTGGAGAGGAAGTCGGACTTCTTTTCCAGGCGGAGCCTCCACGTTGGACTTGGGGAGCCTGCGGCCGTGGGCCCGGGGCCGGGTCCCTGCTGTAGGCCGGCGGCCCAGCGCAACCAGGAGGGTCGGGAAGAGGGCTCTCAGGAGCGGCGGGCCACGCTGGACTCCGGAGACGGGGCTGCGAGGGGAACTCGCTCCCAGCGCCGCGGACTCCAAGCCCGGCGATGCACTTGAACCGGCGGCGGGGCAGCCGCCTGCCGCGTTCCGAGCGCACCCGCGTCCCGGGCGGAGCCGGACGTGGGCCTCGCGCGCTCCTCGGCCTCGGTCGAGGGAGAGGCCAGGCCCGCGGCGCGGCGCGGCGCTGGGGGCCCCACCCGGTCCCCCGGGGTTAGCACCGCCGCGGGCAGCGCATCCCATGCCGGGACCTCGAGTCTGAAAGCAGAGACCGAGAGCCGCCTGCGGCAAAGCTCGGCTTACACTTCATTTTACGATTTGGAGTAAATGTCACAGGAGAGGGGGAAAGAAAGAAAGAAAAAAAACCCCTGTAAATTCGAGTTCGAGGGGGGCGAGGGCCCGGCTTGCGCGCGGCTCCGGGCGGCGCGGCGGCGCGGCGGCCGGGGGTGGAGTGCCCCGGCGGGGATTCCCGGTCTCGCAGCGCACCCTAGTGGCCGCCCTGCCCCTCGCCCGCTCCCCGCGACGCTCGCTGCGTCTCCCCGAGCTCATTAAAATCCGCAATATATTATTTCTCCCGAAGTATTGACAATGTGTGAGACTCCAGTAACCGCGGAGCTCTTGTCTGTAATCAGCGCATTTATTCACATTGAGGGAGAAGAATCCGAATTAAATCCCCGTGACCCAGATTGGGTTACAGTGTTATTTTCCCTGGATCCTCTTTTAAATCCACTCCACACCGCTTGTCCGTCTATTACATGCTAATTTAATTTTACTGTGGACGATATTTTCAGCATTTGCTGAGGACAGTAAATTTTGTAGTTTATGTTATTTCACTTTTTATGACTTTTTAACACTTAATAAAATTTTATTAGAGCACTTTTGTGTTTACAAGGCCACAAAACTCTTGGCAGGTTGTCAGAAGTCCTTTTTATTATGATCCTACTGATATACTGCGAGTAATGAAATAATCATGTCCAGAAATGTATCAAAGGCCAGAGGGATTATCCCACTTAATAGCTCCACAGATGCGCCCAGAAGAATGCGGACACGGGCAGGACTGGCTGAGAGGCGGCGGGAGGAAGGAGGCAGCCCCCGCGTCTGTCTTTACCATTTCGGTTGTTTGCCTAAGAGGCTACATGCGGGGTCATGTGACTTTCCGCGGTCTCAATTTAAAAAAAAAAAAATTATTCTATTGCAAAATGTGCTTTTCTTTTTATTCTCCTTGTGTGGGCATTTAAGGCTGTTCTAGTGGCAGTGGAGCTGGCTTTGCATATCCGTGTCACTTTCTTCTCATTTCTAAGTGTACTTTTGTGGCATTTAAGCAGCCGATGGTGACATTGGTGTTGATCGGTGCGACTTCTCCAGCCCACAACGAGAGAAGGCACGGGGAGAGCCCCAGGTGGGCTCGAGGTGTTTGAAGGAACTCCCCCTTCTGCCAAACAGCACCTTTTACTGTTGCTTTTTGTTTTGTTTCGCAAAACAGGGGAATAGTGCCTTGAGGACTCTGCTTTCTGCCTTGTACCAAAGAACCACAGTATGCTGCTTTTATTTTATGTTGATTTTTTGGGTAAGACTTGCTCTGAGGACAATACTGCAACTTCTTTTTTTTAAAGAACCATTTTCTTTTCTTTTAAATATATATATGTTCATTTAACACACTGGTGTTAAATTCATTCTTGCTGCAAAAGAAGGCCATTGTACTTCCTGACCCCAAAAGCAAGGTGGGTGGCTTTGCTTTATAATTACATATTCTGTCTCCAGCTTCATATTTCTCTTTCTCCGTTATTTGCTAAGTGGTGTGCCAAAGTGATCAAAGAGATGAAGAAGGGAATCATACATGGCGTGATTTTGAAATTACTGTTGCTGTATCCAGAGCACGTGTTCTTCTAAACTTTGACTTTGAGGGACTTTGGCAGTATTTTTCGCAAGTGTGTGTGTACGTGTGTGTTTCATGTTCCAACACGTCACGTTTGGATTTTGGAGTCTGTCATTGTTTAAAACAACCCCTGGGAAGCGTGCCCCTCTCTCTGGATTGCCTCTACCACACCCATGTGTGTACTCTTGGGTTCCAATGTGTATAAGGCTACTCACGAAGGCTCTTTGATTTCAACTTCAAGGGAGCAATTTTGTTCTTTGTATGTCATTTGCTAACCATGGGCAAAACTTAGTGCCTGGTCTAATAGTCTGCTGTGTGTACAGGATGGTCTAGGTTCTAAAAAGAGCATCTGAAGGCTAACACCCAACCGTTAAGAAAAATTTATGTCCTGAGACTATTTGGGCAGCCATTTTTCTCTTTTTACAGTGTTTTCCATTTGCAAATATGAGGCAGTTTTTCCTTTTGTTCAAATGATTTCTCTAACGTAGCTGAAGAACTCGGAAAGAAAGTGACCTTAGGCTGGAAGTAAACACTCTTCCTTCATCCTGGTTGTTATTGATGATTGGTATTCTTTGCCTTTTACCGCAAGAGACACAGACTGGACAGAGAAAAGGGTTCAGATTTTAGCATTCCAAATTTTAGAGCATTGTACTCAAGGGCATTTATGCCCAAGTGCAGGAATCAAGAAGAGCATATTAATTTTAATTCTGCTATAAAGTGACAGCTTGATTTTATAAGTAATTTCTGTCTAGGACAATTTAAATAATACTTCAAAGGCTGTAAAAGCCTTCAAGTTAGAAACCTGTTTTATTAGATTATGAAGTAAACCTCTGCTAAAGTAGGTATTTTTAATGCATCAAAGTGTGTTTGTAATTCTTTTTCAAAAGAGCGGGAGATTGCCTTCAATATGATAACTGATGACACACGGCTTGGTCAATGGAGGGCCTAACTAGTGTCCACAGGGATTGTACAGCCCCTTTTAAAGTATTCAGAGCTGAAAGGAAAGAGTAAAGCCTCAATCCTATCACCTAGGGAATCCATCTTTGAAAAGAGGAGTAAACGAACCAAGCCAGAGGCGTGAAATGGTCCCCTCATGTGACCAAATGCTGTCAGAAAGCAGAAAGGCGTGGGGTCAAGACCCTAGAACCACTTTGCTTGGGTCTGATTTCATTCTGCTGCGTATTCCCTGTGTGGCCTTGGACAAGTTATTTAACCTCCCTGTGCTTAGTTTCTTCATCTGTAAAATGGAACTAATGCTAGTACCTCCTTCCTAGCTTTGTTGAAGGGTTAAAAGAGTTAGTTTATGTGAAATGCTTAAAACAAACCCCGAATGCTACTTAAGCCCCAGGAAGACTGACGTATCCATCACCTAGTACACGCCTGGCATGTAGTAGACGTCAATGAATATTTGTTGAATGAGTGTTGACTGTTATTTCATTGACTGCCCTGGTTGCGCAGGTGTGACCCAGGGGGGCAGTAACTAAGGCAGTGTCAGCCTCATGTCTGCACTCGACTCTACTGAGAATGGACAGCACTCAGGAAAAAGTGTGTTCAACTGCGCTTTTCCTTTTTCTGTGGGTTTCTATATTGCCTCTTGATTAGCAATTGGGGTATAAAGTTTCTGAGGAAAGAGGGAGTTCAAATTTTGGGAGGGGGTCCCCATACTCAGCACAGTGCTTTGTATAGAAGTAACAGATAATTGATAAGATAATCTAATATAGGAACACATATCAAAGCACCCTGTATTATCATCTGTTAGTCAATAAACAGTACTTACAGGCACTGTGGTAAACTCTTTGATACATGATTTCACTTCATCCTCACACTGACCTTCATACAGGTAGTTATCATAATCCCTGTTCTACAGGTAAGAAATAGGAAGCTCCGAGAAGTTGAGTGACTTTCCCAAGGTCACACAGCTAGTAAATGACAGATCTGGAAGCTTAACCCAGGTCTGTGGGAATGTAAAGTTTACGCAGTTAGTCAACCACTGTTCCACGCTGCCTCCCAATCTGTTTGGTTTTATAGAACCCCTAATCAGTTTGGTCATTTATGATTATTGTGTAAACCGTCATGAAAATGGAAACGATGAAGGCTGGGACCCAGACCCGTTAGTCTTGAATCATCTGTGTCTTAGGCAGTGATTTGAATGCCTGCGGGGCTCAGGGGAGTGAGACACAGGCCTGCTTCCCAGGGCCTTGCCTACCTCAGTTCCTTCCACAGCTACAAGCAGATGTTTGAAAAGAGCCAGAGGAGAAGTCAGGGTTACTTTTTTTCCCCTTTGGAAAAATATGATTAAGCTGAATTTACCTGAAGTATTAAAACAACAGGTGAATGGAGTTGCGTGGTGGGCAATTAAAGACTAAAATAGCAGAGCTCAGACAAGTGGGTGGCAGAGCACTTTTTCCTTTTCATCAAAAGTTCTTTACGGGCTTTAAAGATATTCATTCTCCCGAGACAGTCGACAGGTGTCCTGACCATTTCAGGGAATAAAGAACAAACCGAGACAATAAGGAAAGCCTTGATCCACATACAAGGTTACTTAATGGCAAGCAGAGGGGAGTGCAGCAGTGTTCTGCTTTGACCACATGACTAATTCTGCACCCTTGAAACACATGTGTGTAGAACCCCAAAAGAGGTCATCAAAGAGCTCATGAGAGAGAGATGTTCTAGGGAATATTTAACACCCCCTTAGTAAAACTACATCCAAAGCTAGATTTCAAAAGTGGATGATGAAAAGATGAAAGCTGATAGCAGCTGCCTGGTAAACCCTCTACTTTTCTTGAGAAGAAACGGCTCAATCTTGGGTTGGTGAGATTCCACCACCACCAGAATGGTTAGAATTCATCTCTGACTCGTGACTTTATTGCTGGGAGAAGGCGAGGGAAAGTGAGAGGAAATGAGTTTCTCCAAGGGGCTCATGACTCTGCAGAGCCCAGGCTCCCTCCCTGCATGAACAGAGAGGCTGCAGGCTCATAAGCCCGGATTCACTGCTGGGTACTCAAGACCAAGCACTGACGGTGCCGGCAGGAGTTCTGGGTTGGGCAGTCCTCTGAGCATTCAACTCACCTTTCTAACTCGGGCTTCTCCTTTTTGAAAGAGAAAAGTAATCAGTATCTTAACTCACATGTATAGAGTTTTGGGAATTAAGGCTCTATTTAGAGTTGGTTTTGAACACTTCACTATGAAGTCTGAATACATTTTTAAAAAAATAGATGAGTACCGTATTGTGTCTTGCTGAATATTTGATAAGAACAAGGGAAAACTAAAAAAGCAACATCATCCGCTGAATTTAACCTCACTAACATAAAAATGTAGCACTATGGACAATAGAACTGAAGTTGGAAATCTCTGGAAAGAGAGAATTCATGATACTCGAGCCATTTGGCAGATATAATTTTAAGCCATCAAAACTTTTAAGAATCTTGAGTCATTTTCTTCAAATTTTCCTTGCCTTTCTGTATCTGTGAATTTGCCATGTTAAAGTTTATTGCTATAACCGAATGATAGTGCATCTTTTTTGAAAAGGTTTGAGTACTTTTGGATTATTTGATGGAAAGAAGTATACTTTTTCCTTCTTATGTATCTTTCAAACCAACTGCTCTGATATAAATAAAATCTTAAAAAACGTATCCTCCCTTTTTAAGCTAAGAGCAAACATTCTGCTCCCTAAAAATTATTTGACTGCTGAAAGCGTGTTGTGAACGAAATGGTTCTCAGCTCTAACCTAGTCAGCTAGCCTGCAGATCAGACCTTATTCCTAAAGTTTCAGAATTGAGAATGAATGCAACGATCAGCAATGCCAAAATGCAAAACCCAAGGCAACAAAGCAGTGAGCCCCGGCAGGCTGTGAGGACAGGAAGCTGCTGGAATCTGGTTGCTAGGAGACATTAGTCTTTCTTTCTCGGGCGGCAGGAAGGTGTCCTTGAGCATGGCTTCCCCTGTCGTTGGCTTTGGACAAGCCGTGAATCAGTCTGTCCTCGCTAGTGCCACCCTTCCAATAGGATCTACCAGCCCACGGTGCAGGTGACACGGAGGGGCAATGATGGGTGCTGTTCCCTCAGAAAGTTTCTCACACACGCCCTCCCTTTCTGATGCACTCTGTTGAAATCAGTAAGCGTTTCATATGTCTACTTTGGGTTATGAAGATATGGCAAAAGTAGATCCCTGTACGGTGCTTACACCTGTGAGAATTTTGCAACATAAAGTTACACAAAACAGCCTACAAGTGCTATAGGAAAAAAGAGGGATAGGATATTAGTTAACAGGAATAGAAAGAGATTTTCTAGGAGAGGGAACTGGAGCTGGGAGACTTGGTTAGGGAAGGATGGCTCTGGCAGGAGAACAGCAGGTTGACCTCGGAGAGCTCTCTCGGGGGTGGGAGCTGCGGAGGCCAGTGAACCTGGTCTTTCTTGCTCGCAGAAGCATCCGCAGCACTTAGGACAGTGCTTGGCAGAGGGTACGGCCTCAGTGTTCAAGCGCTGACTGTGTGCAGGAGAACGAAGGGGCTGGGACATGAGTGGTGGGAGCCTGGGGCTCACTGTTGGTGTTCCAGGGAAAAGCCCCTTGAAAGAATGTTAATGAAGAAGGCTGGTCTTACTGTATCAGAGTGTCTGCACCAGGAAGTGGTGAGAAATGAGGTTGGCCAGGGAAGGGGCAGCCCACTTACAAAGGATCTTCAAAACTCAACAGAGAATGGCTTAAAAAATTAGGGCCCTACTGGGAGATTCTGAGGCTGGTAGAGATGAGAGTTTTGTGGTTTACAAGTGCTCTTTCAAATGCATTATTTTTCAAATACGTGCAGTTTATTACATGCCAGTAACTCAGTGAAGCTATTGAAAATAC